TTATGAATGAATTTTGTGGTTATTTTAAAGCACAACATTAGTATATTGTTATTATTTTAGATTAAACATTTTAATACGACCGGAGTTGATTAAAAACATATTACTTGTTTTATTAATAGGTTTCGTTTCATGTACTGAATTAATTCTAAGTTGATTAGCATATAATCTAACTTCTTTAATAAAACATGTTACCCTTTTATAAGGAGAATGTATTAGGTTTAATGATGACGAGATAGTTATTTAACTGGGTTAGTTTAGATTTAGGGATGAAATTTTTAATGTCTTACGCTAACATGGCCTACGCAAACATGAATTTTGTACCCTTGCTTCAACCTAAACAAAATCTTGAAGAGAATGTCCTTTCTTTGTTCTTGTAAACCTAGGAATATTGTGACTAAGAGTTTTGGACAGTCCAAGCCTAGAAAAAACCCGCCAAAATCTTATATGGAGTCTAACTTGCAATTATCACATACTAGGAAACGAATCTAAATTTCAGTTAGTGACGAGGAGTTGATGATTCTAATATGTTTCGTTAGGTTTACTATGGAGGCAACTCTATGCTTGCGTTGTTTGTTTTACATATTTGATATCTATATAGGTGGAGGGAGTTATTTAACCCAACAAGAACGAGATGAAATTAGGGCTGAAGTTGATGCTGAATTTGAGGCAGAGGATCGAGGTTTAAAGAATAAAAGGAGGAAAAAGATGCAGAAAAAAAGTCAAACAGAAGATGATGATTTCAGTTCCCTTTTTGGTGGTGGTATTACTGGAAAACTACCTAGATTTGCCAATAAAATAACATTGAAGGTATTTAGCAGCAAACTACTATGGCATTATTATTTATGGGGAGAATGCATATCAAGATAAACATTTGTTTGTTTCTGTTCATAATTCATGACGGACTCATAAGCAAGTCATGTTTAATTAGTTTGAATGATCCTATCAGTCTTTTCTTCGTGGTGGCTTTTGTTTCTTTAATTTTTATTTTTAGAATTGTCAAGTTTTTTCAATAACTATGCTTTTGATTGATGAGTGTAAAAGGCATGCTTATATTCATAGAACTATAGCTAATTAAATGTAGAATTGTCATTTGTCACTATAGTTAATAGTAGTATCATGTCATTGATCTAAAGTTTGTCTAAGGGTGAGATGGCTATAGATTACGTAAGTATATTAGAAATCATAATTCTATTAAATGTAAAATTATTACATTGTTTAGGAGTACATTATATTAGTTTTAGTATTTCTTAGTTTCACCTTATTTAGGAAAGGTTATTTGGGAAGCATTACAAATATCAAACCCTTAAGTATGATGCTTAAGACTTTTTAGAACTGATGCTTAAGAAAGTCTAGGTGTGATGTCTCGATTTTTTATCCCCTAATTCCTGATTGGACAAATCAATCCTATTTGTCTTGCATCAATATCTTATCCTTTCTAGCTTGTAGTACTTATTTATTCCTTTATACTATAGTTCTTTCGTGATAAAGGAGAGGGATTAATCTTGGTCTTGCTTCTTATGCTTCATATTATTATTGTTCAAATTGATGATTTTTTTTTATATAAGAAGTGAGTAGTAGTATAAATTAAGAACGCCAAGGGAGCGTAACCTATGTACAAGAAGATAAGTATTTACAGATCTATGAGTATATCTGCAAAATAACCTAAATCATCAAAAGAATCAAGGTTGTGACCAAGAACAATGAAGTGAAAGAAATGAAGCCACCTATCTTTGATAATAGCAAAATTTGTTTTTTTATTCTCAAAAATTCTACAATTCTTTTCTTTCCATATAATTCAAAGTATTGTTAAGGGAATTACTCTGTGCCACCTATTACACGTTTTGAGGCCTTCCCAAGCTAATAATTCACCTTTGACGGACCCAGAAATGATGCAAGAAATACCAAATAGCTTTTAAATCATTGTCCGTAGCTCATGGGAAATTGGGCACCAAAGGAGAAGGTGGTTGCAAGACTCCTTATTTTGCCTGCCAATTGTACACTGGTTAGCCAAAACAAATCCTCTTTTCATGAGGTTGTCTAACGTAAGAATAGAACCCATAGCAGCTTCCTAAGCAAAAATAGAAATTCTGGATGGAACAAAAGGATTCCAGATAATTTTTTAAGGGAAGTCAGAAATAGAGTCATTGCTGTCCATCAAATTCTTGTATAGAGACTTTACAGAAAAGGAGTCTTTCTTGTGTAAATTCCAGCTTAATTTATCAGTCTCAGTACCAATTTTGACAGTAGCTAGTAGTCGGAGCAGGTTTTCATATTCCACCACCTCCCAATCTTTCAAATTTCTGGTGACAGTCACATCCCAAAACAGAGGAGAACAAACCCAATAAGCATTTTCAATGAGCATAGCTTTGTCTCAAGCAATAGCGTAAATGTGAGGAAATTGGTTTTGCAAACTCATTTGACCACGCCAAACATCCTGCTAGAAATGGTTCTTATCACTTTTTCCAACCACCCATTTGGAGTTGTTTATGATCAGTTTGCTAGAACTCAAAATGCTCTTCCAAAGGCTAAGACCAAACGGACTCTTGTCCACACCGGCAAGATCATACACATCGCTTCCAAACCATTTGCTCACAATAACTTTCTTCTAAAGACTGTTTTTGTCGTTCCAAAACCTTCAAATCCACTTACCATGTAAAGTTTTGTTAAGGCCAATAATGGGTTTATCGGCCTTTTTAACTGTTCCCAGTTTACCAAGTGAATCTTTCTATTCGAGTCATCATCTCCCCCCAAAAGAAGCAACATTGAATGGATTCAAGTCGTTTTTTTGGGTATAGTGAGCACCGAAAGATAGTGGATATGAAGATTGGACAAGATGCTTTTGATTAGAGTCAGTTTTTCTCCTTTGGATAAATATTTACTTTTCCAACAAGCCAATCTGCTCGAAACGTATCAATAATCGGCTCCCAATTAATGCTGTCTCTATGTTTGGCACCAGGAGGAACACCCAAGTATTTTAAGGGAAGTTGGGTAGATTTGCAGCCAAGCACATTAGCAAGAAATCCATATGAGTTTTCCCCAAGCATAATCAATTCTAATTTTTCCATGTTGATTTTGAGGCCGGATACTGCCTGAAAACATAGTAAGATGCATTTAAGATGCAGAACATTTCTGACATTGACTTGACAAAAGAAGATAGTGTCATTCGCAAAGAATAAATGAAAAAAATTCAATTTGATGACCATTTTTCCCCACAAGGATACTTTTCAACATCTTAAGGATTTAGCTTGCAATTCAAGTTTGTTTAGTGCTTACATGACAATAAGAAATAATAAAGGGGAGAGGGGGTCATCTTACCTTAAGCCCCTAGAAACCTGAGGGGCCATCATCGATCATCACAACAAAACAAGTAGTTGTAATGCATTTCTTGATCCAGCATCTCTATTTGATTACAAACCCAAGATTCTCAAGCATATATGATCAATAAAATCCCATGAGACATGGTCGAAAGCTTTCTCCATGTCTAATTTACATAAAACACCTATTCTTTTATTTCTTATAACATCATCAACCACTTCATTAGCCATAAAAATAACATCTGTAATTTGATGCCCATAAACAAAAATTTGTTGGTTTTCCGAAATGATCAAGCCAATGACTTTAGACAATCTATTCGCCAACACTTTTGAGAGAATTTTGTTGATACAACAAACCAAACTGATTGGGTGGAAATCCTTAATGCTGGTTGCATTTTTCTTTTTTGGGATCAAAACCATAAATTTGGAGTTAGTTGATTTGACAAACGAGGAATTCTTATGAAAAGCTTCGAAGAATTCCATAATATGATCCTTAACAACACCTCAAAACACTTGGAGAAATTTCATATTAAAACCGTCTGGGTACGGTGCTTTACCACCCTCCCAACTTTCAAGGCAGTTATATATCTCAGATTGGGTAAATTTAGTTTCCAATTGAGAGATTGTCAAATCATCTAATCTGTTAAAATGAAGATTATTCAGTTTCGGTCTCCAGGAGCACTCCTTTGTAAACATATTTTGGAAATATTTGCATGCACTAATCTCTCATTTCTGTATTACCCTCAATTCTGGAATTTCCAATAAGGAGTTCAAATTGATGATTTTAAAGCTTTCCTTTCAGTGTTTTGTCACATTTAGATCAAAGAGAATCAGACAAGTATTATGAATTTTTCTGTGGAATTTGTACATTTTTATTATATACAGATACTCATTACGGTTTCTGATAATTGATTTTTCTTGTTTCTCCTTGTATCTTTTCTTTCAGTGCTGGTGGTTTTCTTTCCACTAAATTCTTCCCTGATTTTTCCTTTAATAAGATGGATGTTTTGTTTACCCAAATATGGTATTAACTTTGAGCTGAACTTATTCTTTAATTTCAAATCAGAATATATCTCCTGGAATGAAGCTTTGGGGAGTTGTTGCTGAAGTAAATGAGAAAGACCTCGTGATCAGCTTGCCAGGGGGCTTACGTGGATTGGTTCGTGTTTGTGATGCATTTGATCCTGTCTTGGATAATGGAATCAAGGTGGTAATATACCATATTTTTCAAATGTGGAATTTTTGTTTAGATATTGATTTTATTTTTTGTTGAACTTGCATTGCATTGCTATTGAGTAATATTTAAAATTTGTTCTCTACCAGGATGGTGAAGGTAGTCTTCTTCCGGCCGTATTTTCACCAGGGCAGCTTGTTTCTTGTGTTGTGTTGCAATTAGATGGTGATAAAAAAGAGAGTGTGAAAAGGAAGATTTGGCTTTCTTTGCGTCTCTCTTTGTTGCACAAAGGCTTAACTTTGGATGCTGTTCAGGAGGGGATGGTATGTCAATTTAGTTGTATGCTTTTTTTTTGAAATGAAAAGTAGAGTAGTTGTATTAGTGTGAGCACCAGGGGTGCAAAAGGAACATGTACAATTATTTACAGCTTAGTCCTCCATTCTAGGAATCTTCTAGGAATCTTCCTATAAGTCTCAAAATAAACTGGAGGATGACCCGTAAGTAAAAAATTAAAGGTACTAAGCCATCTATTCTTCAGTATATCAAAATCATTAGTGTCATCAAGACCCTCAAAGGCCCTACTGTTCCTAACTTTCCAAACAGTCCATATAATTGAAATGGGAATCATATCAGCAAGGATACAATAGTTGCTGAGATGCTTCCAAGCCTAAATCTCTTCTCAAATTTAGTTGTATGCTAGACAAGCAACTGTTATGAAACATATGTCCCTTGTTATATTAAGATTCCCAAAATTTTTATCCGCTAATTGCAACTTTGATTGGAGTTATAGGAGACAAAAATCACCATAGAACTATGAATTCAGAAATTTTAAAATTATTGTCTATTTGCTTGGTCATGAACTCATGGCTGCCCCCCCCTAGATGTTGAGTTTTGGCTCATATTTAGAGCATTGTTGTTCACAGTTGGTTCCGTTAAGGGAAGGGGATTCTTGTGAAGCGTGAAGCCCCCAGGCTATGGTACAAGATTTTCCGTTGAAGGGCATTTTTTTAAATTGTGAGAGATATTCTTATAAAATTACATTACTAAATTTTTTCTATATATAGGAAACACTTAGTTGCACGTGGCGGTTCTAGATATAGTAAAAAATTATATAGTAGCCACATCATCAAACCAAGTTAAAATTTAGTGTGCTATTTCTTTCTCTGTTGCCTCTATTTTAGTTCGTGCATTGCATGTGCGATCTCACAAGACCAGAAATCCATAATACAGTTACTTGGTGCTTCTTTTTAGAGTGGGGTGGGCTCTAGAGGCTTGGGGGTGGGGAGTCAGGAGAAGGCATATTTCAAAAGAGAAGCATATCATTTTTTGGCTTTCTCACTCAAAAGAAAAGTTCTTATACTTTTTTTTTTTTTAAAATTTTAAAAAACAATCTTTATACTTTTTTTCCAAGAAAAACTATGCCACAAGCTTGTTTGTAGATATCTTTGATTTTGTATGTGCCTTGCTCTTTTTTAAAAGATCTTTTACTATGATATGATTTTTAATCCATTTGGTTAACAAGTAATTGACCTTGTATGGAGAGAATCTATTTGGAAGTGCCTATTAGCCCTTGTACGAATAATGACTTTTTTGTCCTCTCTACTCATGGCATCAGTGAGCCAAGAGGAGGAATGGTGCTTCTGGTGACTAGAAAGTTCTTGGTCATCGAAAGTAAGACATTTGATGTTGGAATTATGGAGGAGAGGGGAAAAGGCATAAGGGTGAGTGAGAATGGTAAAGGATTCCGATCAACTTTCTCTTATGGGAGGTGGAAATCGAGTGTCTTCCGGGTGCCTTGCAAGAATTTTATTGGATGAAAGGGAAGAAATATTTTGGGGGCATAATTTTTCTGGCAAAGACCACAAACTCTGGGTGGCTTTGGGAGGGAACAACAGATGAAAGTTTTTGGTTATCACATAGCATGGGGGGACAAATAGATACATTTTTATCCTAGAGGGACCACAAGCTAGATGGTTGTGGAGGATGATGGTACTGCTGCATGAGATGATGGGAAGGAAGTTTAGGACACCTAGACACAGAGAGAGGAGCAATATGTGCTCAGAAAAGATAGTGGGAAGCTTGGGGAGTGAGAGGGAGAAAAGTCAGGCGGCAATACAAACTATCACCACGTGTGTGGTGAAGTGCCCAAGTTGTCAGATTTGGAGGTTCGGAAATGAGGAGGTATGGGTGGGAGAAAGGAGAATTGGATGGGGAAGAGTAGATCCAAGTTCAAATTGGGTCAGGCGAATGAGAGTCACATGTTTCTATATCACCCAAAAGATAAAAAGGGGAATGAGAGTTGCATGTTTCTTCCCTTCACTAATACTCATCCAGGCTCAAATCTCTTCCCTTACAGAACCAACCATCGCCCAAACTGGTCTCCAATAATCCGTAGGCCATAGTTCATACTTATATACGAGCAGGCACCAAAGAAGGATGTGATTGACTCTGCATCCCTCTTGCATAGATAATGATTATTCACCAAAATGTTTTCCCTTCTCATCAGCTTATTAATAGTAAGGATACATCCACGACCTACTTCCTATGCAAAGAAAGCAACTCTAGGTGGAGTATTGACCTTCCAGATTCGTCAAAAAAGAAAATGGGTCTTGATAGTTTCCTTTTTCTTTTTCAAAATAACAAGTATAAGATTATCATTAAGTAAAGGCATCAAGAGGGTGCTGACCATGTATAAAATTATTTACAAATCTGTAAGTACTTCAATTAGTTCTCCTAAAGTTTCCATAGAAATCCTTGGTTGGCTCACAACCAAAATCCCAAGGATCTGTAACTATCTCTCTCTAATTTTATCTATACTCTCCTCCTCCTAAAAAACTCTCAAGTTTCTTTCCTTCCGAATGACGCAAAATATGGTGAGGGGAATTAACCCTAACTGTTTTTCCCCCCCCAACAAAACCCTTCCAAGCCTATAATTCAGCCCTAACGGTACCTACCATCACTCATTGATAACCAATAATTCCATAAGCCATCGACCATAAGATATATGCAACTGGACACCCAAGAAGAATATGACTGCAGGTCTCCTCCACCCGCTTGCATAAACAACACCAATTGACAAGAATCCTTCCCCTCCTGTTAAGCTTGTCAATAGTCAAGATACATCAATGACTCGCTTCCCAAGCAAAGAACACAATTCTAGGTGGAGCCTTTATTTCCTAGATTTGTTTATATGGAAGTCTCTTATCAATAGGTTCTTTCTTAGTCAAATATCTGTAAAAAGATCTTACCGTGAAGCTCTCTGTTGCATTATTGTCAACATCTTCACTTAACACAGCCGATTCCAGGGAGCCCAATCAAGTTTCATATTGACCAATTTCTCAGTCATTGAGATTCCGAGTAACTTTCACATGCCAATCCCTTTTGCCTTCGCCAATATCAAAAGCCTTTTGAATTGACATATCTTTACAACGAGTTATGGCATAAATTTGCACGAGACTGTTTTTTAGTGCTCTATCTCCAAGCCACCTATCTGACAAAACGCAATTTTACTCCCATCTCCCGCTCTCTATTATACATATATATGAAATTCCTCTTTTCCCATGTACACCTTTTTCCACATCCCTCTCTCGTGGGGATAAGCCATACTTCTAGAAAACCACTCGATAGTTCCATACAACATCAAGTAATAATAGAAAGATTTGACTGAAACAGACTCGTTGGTAATGAGACTCTAAATTGGTTGGTTATTACTCTTGTTTATTGATGTGCAGGAGAGTGTATTGAGGAGAGTCTTATAATAATCAATTTTCTAATCATTGAGTTTCTCATAACTTCCACATGTTATTCCCTTTTCCCCCGTAATCTCTGAATGACTCAAAAACTGTGATATTCTTGTGTCATGCGATGCATAGATATGGGAAACCTGATCTCTAAGCCATCCCTTCTCTAAGCCAATATCTTGCCAAAGCTGA